CTAGCCGCTTATGAGTATGATATCTATGACTTCATAACTTAACGTGTGACTTTGTTGCATATATGTTGATGATTACTTATCTTTTTAATTTTATTTTTTAATATTAACCAATATGTTGTTGCACTACTTGACTGTACCTTCACCTGCTTGAGTTATCTGTGAACATGTGTATGAAAATTGGGTTATAAATCTAAATATATTATCTAATAATCCTGGCTTGTTGCAGGATCCTCCAACAGAAGCAACTTGCTTATTTGATTTCTTACCTATCGACATGAGTCGGTTCTATGATGTTTGGCCAATTTTAAAGGATAGCAACCTACATTTAGACCTCATGTACTGGTATGGTTATCTTTGTAGATTGTTGGTCATTTTCTGAGCACTCGCTAGATTTTGAAAATTTCAACAATTACCTATATACTTGTTTTCCTTATACAACATGATGCTTTTATGCATTCGTACTATCTGAGACATTAAGCAATGATGATAATGAAAAATGATTATTGTGATATGCATCCTGCATTGAGACTCAAGTATGTTGTAGAGGCGTATCGTGCCTTTGATCAATACTTATGATTTAGCAACCTACATGAACTCTCATGTATTGGCATGGCTATCAATAATGTTATTGATAAAGCTCTTACACATCAAACACTACATGGGCACTTATGTATTGGATGGCTGTCACTTATGATTATCTTCAGGTTCTGAGCTTACAAATGTCTATGATGATTTTCATTGTCATGGTATTTTGACAAATTGGAAAATGGTGTTTTGAATTAGGGATTCTTATAGAGGCTCTTTTTAAAAAAATCTGAGCATTCAGGTATTATACTCCAAGACTTGTTCTTTTAATATATTCATATTTTCCGTAGCTACCTTAGTTGTTGAAGTTCGGTAATACTTTAAAATCTGAGCATTCAGGTGTTTTGAGGATTACATTGAGAAAGAAAGTTATGTGAGATGCGTGAACTTGCTATTAAGTCGTCGGCTTTCATATTTAGTCTCGACACTGTGTATCCTTCAACATCTTTGTTGATTGCATTTTTCAGTAGCAGGGCATTTTGAGTGCTTGGATTTCTTTCTTTGGTCAAAAATTTTGCCTATTTGGCAAGGTGAGCCTCTTTTTGCTATCTTGAACTTGCTATTAAGTTTTCTGTTGATTTCAACTGTTAGCAATAATCCACTACGTATTTCTCTTTTCAATGCTTTTAGTTCTCTTTTTTATGGTTACCTCACCATGGTGAGCACATCTAGTATTTAGAATTGTGCACTTCTTCCATCCAAACTATTGAAAATGAGAAGTGATGTTTTGTGATGAGCCAAGCAAATTTAAAAAACCTTTAAAAACACATGAAAAGGAATATTTATGCTTGCAAATGAGTTTCTTATAATTAGGGAAACAAACCAAACAGCCCTTGTACAGAAATTGGGCTATAAATCTGAATATATTATCTAATAATCTTGGCTTGTTGTTGCAGGATCCTCCAACGGCTACGACAAATATTTGATTTGTTACCTATCGACATGAGTCGTTGCTATGATGTTTGGCCAATGACAAAGGATAGCAACCTACATTGAGACTTCATGTACTGGTATGGCTATCTTTGTAGATTGTTGGTCATTTTCTGAGCACTCATTAGATTTTAGAAATTTCAACATTTGCCGATGATACTTGTTTTCCTTATGGGGGTTTCTGTTTTCTGAGCTGGCAGATGATTTCCATCAAAGTTTTCTTTAAACTTGAGGTTGAACCAAAATGAAGATTAGAAAAACTAAAGGGTCTTACATTTTTTTCTGTCAATCTGTCAGAGCTGGAAACCTATTTCAACCCCTTACTTTTGCCAACCAAACAACCCCTATACAGCATGACACTTCCATGCAATCATACTATCTGAGACATCAAGCAATGATGATAATGAAAAATGATTAATGTGATATGCAACCTGCATTGAGGCTCATGTATGTAGGAGATGTGCATCATGCTTTTGATCAATATTTATGATTTAGCAACCTACATAAACTTTCATGTATTGGCATGGCTATCTATAATGATATTGATCAAGCTCTTACACATCAAGCACTACATGGGCACTTATGTATTGGATGGCTATCACCTATGATTACCTTCAATTTTCTGAGCTTACATATGCCTATGATGAGTTTCGTTGTCATGGTATTTTGACCCAAGAAATGGTGTTGTTGAATGAGGGTTACTGGTGGAGGCTCTTTTTTAAAATCTTAGCAATCTGGTATTATACTTCAAGACTTGTTCTTTTAATATTCACACTTTCTAGCTATCGCTGTTGAGGTTTTTACATACTCTAAAATCTGAGCATTCAGGTGTTTTGAGGATTACAATGAGAATGTTATGCGAGAGACATGAACATATTCTCGGCTCTTGCTGGTATTTGACTTCGGTTGTACTAGTTACTTTTTGAGAGGATAAATATTCTTTGGATTGGATCAGGATTTCTCACTTCGTTATGTGAGCCTCTTTTTGCTTTCTTGAACTTGCTTTTAAGCTTTTCTGTTCATTTCAACTGTCAGTGCTTGGGTTAAATTGAACTGGCAAGCTTTTCTTGTTCTCATGCCTAGTATGCTTTCAGTTCTTGCAAATATGAGAAATTGGGCTATAAATCTGATTATCTTATCTAATAATCGTGCATACTATGCTTTTAGTTCTCTTTTTGATGGTAACCTCACCATGGTGAGGACATCTAGTTTTTCTCATTGTGCACTTCTTTCCATCCAATCTGGAGAAAATGAAAAGTGATTTTTTTTTTATTAACCATACAAATTTAAGAAACCTTTAAAAACACTTGAAAAGCAACGTCTGTGTTTGGAAATGAGTTTCCTATAATTAGGGAAACCAACCAAACAGCCCCTGTATGAAAATTGGGTTATACATCTGAGACATCATGCAATGATGATAATGAAAAATGATTAATGTGATATGCAACCTACATTAAGGCTCATGTATGTAGTAGATGTGCATGAACTCTCATGTATTAGCATGGCTATCTATAATGATATTGATTAAGCTCTTACACATCAAACTCTACATGGGCACTTATGTATTGGATGGCTGTCACTTATGAATTTATTCAAGTTCTGAGCTCCAATATGTTCTACATGGGCACTTATGTATTGGATGGCTGTCACTTATGAATTTATTCAAGTTCTGAGCTCCAATATGTCTATGATGATTTTTCCCTTTTATTTTGGCTGTCACTTATGAATTTATTCAAGTTCTGAGCTCCAATATGTCTATGATGATTTTTCCCTTTTATTTGTGTACTTGATGCTTCCCTCTAATTTCCCCCAAGATCTTGCCAAAATGTGTTAATTACCATATAATTCTGGAGCTACTAATGTATTTGTATAGAGGACTAGTCTTAATTTCTTTGTATCAGATTGATGCTTCTGCTCTCAGGTGCGTATTCTACAAAACCCTTATATAGTTCTCAACCTGGAAGCTCATATCATTTCATATTAAATGTGTCAATTGTACGCTTCATTCTTGCGTATAGGTTTTCAGATTTTTTGTGGTATCAATATATATAAGATTGGGTACTGTATGTATTTCTCCACCATCAAGCATTAGAGATATCAAAATAAGGGGTGTGGTGTGTATCATAACCCGTTTCATGTATAGAGCAATATGAGGACTGTAATCAACTAGTAAGACCATTTCTAATTCTGTAGTAGTTTTGTCAACATGTTTTCTGCTGTATTTTAGCATGGGCTTGTTTGCAAATGGGAATGTTTCTGATTAAGCATACATGTGTCTGTAATATGTTCTTCTAATAATGATATTGTATGGTATGCAGTGTATATGCAGTGTAATATACAGGGGTTGCTTGGAGGAAATGCAAAATGCTCGAGGCATAGGAGATGTGCTAACATTCCTTGTTCAATGCAAATATCATATTCAAGTGAAAAAAATAGAAATGCTCGAGGACGTGTTTTTTTATTATCAGATTGATGCTTCTGCTCTTAGGCGCTTATTCTTATTCAGTTTGATATATCATATTCTAATATTACCTTGTTATTTCTGTCTAGCTTGGAGGAAATGCAAAATGCTCGAGGTATAGGAGATGTGCTAACAGAAATGCTCAAGGCATGCAAATATATTTGTTCTTCAATACAATTGATAATGGTTATGCTCTTATTATTGGGTTCCTTTTGTTGTGATGTAGAATCTCTTGGTTCAGTATTGTGGTGATTAATATAGCGTTGATTAACAAATTCTTTGACAATTTTGTTTAGACTGAATTATCTATGTTGTAATAGGATGGTCAAGTGAAAAAATATCTCGAACTGTGGTGGAGTTGATATATTATGTGCATGCCATTTTTGTTTTGAAGTTTTGATGGGGAATATTTAGAATTTGGTTGTTGAAATGAATACTAAATTTTATTATGTGCATGTCTCTTTGGTGGTAACCTCACCATGGTGAGCACAACTACTTTTTCTCATTGTGCACTTTTTCCATCCAAACTAGAGAAATTAAGAAGTGATATTTCCTATTCTTGGTTTCTTAATATTTTGGTGTGAAACAAACAATGGATGTTTGAGGACATCTATTTCCACCCCTCTTTTGTGATGAACCAAACAAACTTCAAGAAACCTTTAATAAAACATGGAAATCAATATTTATGGTTGGAAATAGATTTCCTATATTTAGGGAAACCAACCAAACAGCCCCTTAGGAGATGATATGAGATGAGTTGTGAGATGAAAATAATATTTTATTGGATGTTGTGGTGAGTTTTAGGGATGGAAATGGATAAAAATAATATTTTATTGATTTCCATGTATCCTTTTCCTTTTCTTGATTTTTAGGAAACCAACCAAACAGCCCCTAATAGCATCAACATACTGGAACTAAACCAATCAGTCGTCATATCGTGGTATTCAACGTAATTTTGAACTTACTAAAAAATTCGAAGCATATAAACAACACAAGGAAACCACAAATTTAATGCACAACATACCAACAACATCCTCTGAAGGGACCTCGGCCTCGTTTAAGATGGTCACGATTTTCTTAACTCCCTCCGTGGTCCCATTCTGCAATAAATAAATAAAAGACAAACATAAAATTTCGAAACATTTTAATTTTTTCACTATTTTTTTAACATAAGAAACATATCTGAAATCAAATAAACGCGTAAAGGCTTATTTCATCCAAAAACCCTAGATTCTTGTGGATGGTGCTCAGCAATAAAAACGAGTTTAAAAAAGATCTGTAATTTGAATTGTCGATGGGAAAGTAAATAAGGAAAAGATGAGGGGTGTTTACGCATTTCCAGTTGCCGCCGACGAAGAATTTTCTGCCCATTTTTTTTCCCTTTTTTTCTCAAGCGAAGAAGACGCTGGAGGCCTCGTTCTGTGTTGGTCGCCTTTTGGGTCTAACAACGCAGACTATGTTGGGCCTCTACGGACTAGTTTAGGCTTGGCCCACGAAGGAGAGTTCTTAGTTTGATGTTGCTTTCAGCGCAATTACGTTTTGCCCCATTTTCTCTTAAAGAACGAGATTAGATTGCTGAATACATTTGAATTTTTTTTTTAATGATTAACAAAATTCTACAAGGATAACACAGATCTGTTATCCCAAGTTGCTCCAAACAACTTGGTAGTGATGTGGCCTAATCTTGTCCATACATCTATATTGGAGTTGGTGAAGGGTGGTTGAGGCTCTATCTTCGAGGTGTGATGTAGGGACAAGATTAGGCCACATCACTACCAAGTTGCTTTAAGCAACTTGGTACCAAGGTTCTCCATATTTCTCATATATATATTGTGTTAGAACCTTAATTATGCATGTTAAGATAGATTTGGAAGAGCTTAGGGCCCCTCAATTTTCTTTGATGGCTGATCACTTTGAGCAGAAGAATACTCCTACACAAATATGAAATGTCAGAGGGTCGGAGTTGGATTCTCTGGTGAGTCTTCGATGATCAAGTTAGTGATGATCTTAAGGGAAAAAGTGTGTGAAAGAAGTAATTTTTAGGGTTAAATCAGTTATTAAGTAGAAACCTTGGGCACATGAGCCCTTTATCCCGCCGAAGCCCGAGTTCGAGCCTTCAAACCTCTATCCGTACTTAATCTTGCCTAATAAAACTCAGAACTTGGGTTCGACCTTAATTTTGGCCCCAGATGCATAAGAGCAGCGATTTGAATCTGGAGCCTTCAATCAGAAAGCATCCCGAGCAAGTTTCATCCAAACTATTATGCCATGTTTGGATGGAGGGTAGAGAGGGGGAGGGGAAGAGAAATGAGGCTTTCACCTTGTTTGGGAGTTTTGTTAAGGAGGATAGAGAGGAGGAAGGAAGGGGAAAGGAGTGTAAAATTGCTTGGTTTTATTCCCCCCCGATTTGGGCGGTAGAGGAGGGTAAATGAGGGTAAAGGGGTGTAATGACATTCCTACCCCCATCAAAACAAATAAAAGGGCTGATGTGTTATTAGTATAAAGTCATTTATGTAAAATTACATATATTTACTTCCTTTCATTTTCATTCACCTTACTCAACTCCCAAACAACATATTACAATTCTCTTCTCTTCCCTTCCCTTCTCTTCCCGTTGTTTACCTTTCCTTCCCTTCCCTTAGTAAACTCCCAAACACACCATTAATTAACCAAACAATGTATTTTCTAGATTATGGCTTGGTAGATTTATTCCCAGAATGCCAGCTCAGCAAACGGCCCGAGTCCGCGCCCAAAATCCTCATCCCTTTCTTCTCGCCCAAGGAAAAGTAAAAGCCGCGAATGAACCTGGCTCTCTTCTCGTACCCCCGCTCCCCAAATCTATAGACCCTTTAACTACCCTGAGGGCATTATCGTCATTTCCTACCCCACCGTCGCGTATACATACCGCTCCCTCATTTCCTCCTCATTTTCGTCTCCCCTTCTCTCCAATTTCGTTCGCGCATTAAATCAAAGCTTTTAAAATTGGGGCATCGAGATTGGGGGAGATCGACAGATGCTGTTGGCGAACGATTTTAGGGTTTCGGTCGGGGTCTCGAGTGGAGGAAGAAGCCGCCGTCGCAATCGCCGCCGCCTCCGGCGATCCCGCGGGGTCCGATCAAGGTGGGATTGGGGACGCGAGCGGTCGCCGGGTCGTTCGGATCTTTGAACGTCGCCGGGAGCGAGGAGGAGCTGAGGATGTGCGCGGCCGCGGCGGCCGGGGACATGGTGGTCAGGGGATTCAGCCATGAGAGCGAGCACGACCTCGCGGCGCTCGTTAGCGATTTCTTGGAGAACGGGAGCAGCGGGGCCGAGTCGTGGTATAGTAGCGATAGCGATTCGGGGTTCTCTGATCTCCATCATCTTGCTGAGAGAATTCTGGTCAGCTCTGTAACCCTTTTTGTGAATTCTATTTCGAATTGTATGCTTATATAGCTGTTTGCATGTGTATGTTAATGTTATCTTAAACAAAGTTTTATGGAAACATCAACCTTTTTACTCTGAAAAAAAAAGAAAACTTTTGTAGCAATTGGAGCATTGTCATGCTGTTGGCTCCTAAATTGGGAGGAAATGGATGCCGCATAACCTTAAGTTGTTAGCTTTTATGCTATAGCCTATAGGAAATTATTTACCACTTTTAGAAATTCTTATATTCATGATATCTTAAACAAACTTTCGAGAATTTCAATGGTTAAATCAAGATCAAAACTCAGGGTAATGACTGAAGCTCTGTTTTCTTTGGGCTGTTGTAGACGCGGAGAAAATGTATGCACGATTTAGTGTAAGAATGTGCTTAGGTGAATATTCCTTAATACGCCAGTGAAATTTTTAGAAGTTTATTAAATATGAAATTGATTAACTCTAGACATTTGATAACTTTAATGCCTACACCCGTTTCTAGATTTTGAAGACGACTAATAAATTTTTTTTATGTCGTGGGCCCTTTCATGTGATGCCAAAAAGAAGATGCATCACCTATTTGCTAGAGTTGTGTGTTAATTCGTCTTGAAAGTTGGTCTAAGTATTTCATTGGTTGGTCTTATGAGAACCTATAAAAAGTTCTCACCCAATCCACGAATAGCCAAAATAATGATCGATTAATATTAGGTATTAAGTAGTTTAGTGTTTAATAAGGTGGAAGTGACGGCGGGTTAGATGGAATGAGGGAGCGGAAGAGATGCTGAGCACTTTAGGGTTGATCATTCTTATTGTTCTGATAAGTTATGAAGATGGTGATTATTATTCTTAAAATTAACTGCGTTATCTTTCTAGTTACATGTCCCATGTGTAGGAAAGTCCTAGTACGATCTACAGAGTACTCTGGGAATCGCCGTGCAGGAGTTGCACATTTCCTTTTCTTTCTTCTGTCATCTAAGGTGAGACATTCTTCAGAAATCTTAGAAGATAAGAAAGGACCTGAAACGAGGAGGGAAAAAATCTATTAATTAGAAAAATATGAAAACCTCGGTTAGACGGAACATACAATATGGTTTTGTTATATGGCCTTGAGATGATACTTATTCAAGATATTCCACTTGTTTGTGTGGATCTGTTGTGCAAATGCTTGAGTTGGTAGCAGACTCGGTAATTTGACATAGTTTTTGGGAGCCAAACATGATATTTCCTGCAACTAAAAGAATATTAATTTAGCAGTGAATTTTTTTTCTCCGTCAAAACCTTTCTACAAGTTTTGTTGATGCACTTTTGCACATTCTGTATTTGAATTCAGGATCTAAACATGAATATGCTAACTCAAGGTAAGAACATGTCAATGATGTCATTTATTAGTTGTCTTGGTCAAGCAAAAAAGTGATTGCTCATCAGTTCTCATATGGATCAGAAACTTCATCCTAGATCATAATGTAATTCTGCTATTTCGTAACGGATTTAAGATTAAGAATATTGTGACCTCTCTTTTAGTTCAAACTCAAGCACTGGCCAAATATTAATGTTTCATCAGAATTGTGTTTATTGCTAAGACACCATTTATCTCATTGAAGCCCCAAGTAGGCTTAACTAAAAAAATATGGCTTTTAAAGATAAAAAAACTGCATAATTTGAAATATTGGATTTATAAGGTATTACTATCTGAAGATGTAATTGAAGAGGCAACTAAAATATATGGTTTGTACATTTATTTTCTATCAATATGCCAAATATATTTCCTTTAATTTGTCCCTTTACATCATATTATTATACCAGAAATGTTACAATTCCTGTCACCATGCTTAATGAACTTGTTCCTTTTAGACTCTTAGTTAATCTAGTGGAAAGTGGACACTGGACAGTCATTATTTCTGTGGCATAAGTGTATGCTGCCGACCTATGGGCAATAGCTGCTGAGGCTTTCTTGCAGTCACCTTGGGAAGAAACAGAGACACTAACTTGTAGAACGCTGATCTCATGCCAATAGGTTCTTATTTATCATCCCATTCCATATTCATTGCATAGGCAACCCAATTTTAACATGGTATGTTTCAGTGTGGGTGATGCTACAAATTTTTACCATCACCATGCCTGTGTTATAGAGTTGTCTGTATCTGAATTTTATAGAGTTATGGGCAATGTCAATTTGCACTATTTTCCCAATCTAAATAAGGTTAATCCATATCTGTACTTCGAAGGGCTTCCCAATTTATGAAAGTGGGCCATTTTAATTGTTAGCTGAAGTAAACTCAGATTCCTTCAGACCTCTTGACTTGTTAAGAGAACACACACACGAGTGTGCGCACATGCGCAGCACTCTCATTGTATACTGTCATTGTGGGTTCTTAATGAGAATACCTTACAATTTAATTTTGTGATTTATATGGTAATAGACCCACAAGCACACAGGCACACATAAATAGATACACATACATATATGTGCGCGCGTGAGCGCGCGCATATACGCATTATATACTGACATTGCAGATTCTTAATGAGAATGCCTCACCATTTACTTCGCAAATTTTTTTGATACTGAACCAATATTAGTGCAATCAATGCTACCTTTAAACTTAAACTTTCGCTTTTCCAGCAAATAGTGGTTTAAGTATTTATTAATTTTCAGACTTCCACATGAATCTGTATGGCAGATATACTTGTTAGATGAGTAAAGGCTCAAATCTGTACTATCATAAGCATCACCCTTGATTTAGGCTATTTTGGCCTAGATAAAATTTTGGATGTAAACTTTGACATCCTTTCATCTCCTTTTTATTTATCTTCTGTTATCCCAAATGTCTGTGATGGGAGATGTTGTCATGTACTTTATAAACATACAATCAGATTTATGAAGTGTGGTTTTTGATATTCTTTTCTATGAGCTGAATCATTTGCAAATTAATGGTAGACTTTTCATGGCTGTAATTATGAGCAACTGTTTTATTTGCCTCATGCCCATTTGCTGAATTGAATTGCTAGCTGCTAATCGCGAAGAGAGTTTCAAACAATTTTTATATAACAAGGCATTGAAAAGCAAGTTAAGGATAGTCTTACTAGGTATTGTTGGCTTATTGGTAGCTGAAGTACCCATTAAAAACTTGTATGGAGTTTGCATACTGCATTGAATGCAGTCTTTTTTGTATTTATAGGTCATCCGGAACGTTTTACTGATCATCGTTTTTTGAACTGCAGTTCTGGAAACGAACAGTAGAGCAATATGAGATTGATCTGTTATCAGCCGTCCATTCTTTTATAGTTTCAATAAATGAACTTGAGCTTCAAATTGCCAATGATGGACAATGCTATGCCAGTTGTATACGAGAGTCACTTGTAAAACTTTTGAAATCCTCTGGTTATGATGCAGCCGTTTGCTCATCCAAATGGCTTGGTGACGGAAAATTCCCTGGAGGTATGCCTGATATATAAATCTTGTTACATTGACCATTCTATGTATTGCATATATAAATATCTATTTTGTTTTGGTAGGTGATCATGAGTACATCGATGTTGTGACAAATGGAAACAATGGGGTTTCTGAGCGTTTGATCATTGAAATAGACTTCCAGAGCCACTTTGAGATAGCAAGGGCAGTAGAATCTTACGAAGCAATCCTGTCATCACTTCCTGTAGTCTATGTTGGTTCCCTGGAGAGACTCGATCAGTTCTTGCGGATAATGGTGGAAGCTACTAGATGGTCACTTAAGCAGAACTCAATGCCTCTTCCTCCATGGAGATCCTTGCCCTATCTCCAAGCAAAATGGCGTTCCCCATACGAAAGAAAATCTGATGCCAATGAACCTGACCATGGTAACCGCAACAGTTCAGTAGACCATGATCAATGCGTTGAGTATTTGAGAAGGTTGAAAACAGCTCTTTGGTCAGATATTGATATGGAACACTTGTACAATAACTCAATCCCTAGTGACAAGAAGTGCGATAAGAAGCGCAGGATGAAATTTGAGAGGAGACAGAGGCCCTCTCTGCTCAGAATTTAACGGACCGGAGCCAAGCAGAGAGCACAATTTAGGTTTTGTTATACGATTCTTTTTGAGCAAAGGATTGGTTTTCTTGGAATGAAGCAA